TGTCATCTGCATAAATGCCTACATGCGAACTGATGACATCATGAAAATCGTTGATGAAGATCAGAAAATGAGCAAGACCCAGAATAGAACATTGGAGGCACCTACGTTCGTGTGAAAGGATCTGGAAGCGAACCTGCTCAGAACGACCTTCATTTCATGATTTCATAAGAATGATTGGATTAAAGCGTCCTGTACTACAGTAGCCTTGAAGCTTACGTAGAAGTCCAACATGCCAAACCCTGTCAAACGCCTTTGAGATATCTAGAGCCACAGTTCGAGATTCGCTGTTATTATCAAGAGCTTGATATACATATTCACTGATGGTCGTAAGTACGTCAATAGCAGACAGGGCAAAACTAATTCATATGTTTTGTCAGAGAGTACGCCGTGAGATGTAAGATAATTAACTACTTCAGCATTGATTAATTATTCGGACATTTTGCTGAAAAGCGGTAGATTAATAGGACGATAGTTCTTACAAAAAAAACAAAACAAAAAAAAAAAAACAGCTTCTCCAGAGTTCTTACAAAAAGGTCCTACAAAGAAGGACTTAAAACAAACTGGAAAATAGAAAGCACCGAGACAATATTTGTAGTTTAGAGCCATCTCGGGAACAGATTTCTTTAGGGCGACGGCTGGGATCCCGTCACCTACATTTGCCTTATGGGAGTCTAATTTAGAAATGATGTCCGAGACCAGTGACGGAGTTATGCGCATATAACTCAGGAGAGCCTTAGTTCTTGTGGAAAATCATGTGTGGGTACTCCAAATGAGTCGGGGGTTGAGGTGGAAGAGAATTTCTGAACAAAGCATTCAACGTTATCTGCTGTAGATGTCAGGACGTCAAATTGATTGAATAGAGGAGAGATTGAGGATTTGCTGTTGTTCACCGAACTCTCGTAGAACCGCCAGCAATCTCTAGAACCAAAATGTTATTCGTTTTTTCATTCTGTCAACAAACTGTAGCTTCGCTTCATTGAGGACACGCTTGCCCTCGTTGCAAGCAGAGACAGAGAGTGGAGCTGTGGTAGAGCCGGATGAAGTGGTTCCTGTGGACTATAGCATCCGAGCATGGAGGGGAGAAGCGGAGATGAATGCAGTTTAACTGGATGGAATGGAAGTATCGAGGCCAGCTGTCACCTAAGAGGAGGCCTCAGATGCGCATTTTTCAACAGGATGATTAAAAACGTCATTCCAAGGGACATCACGAAGGAAATCACAGAACGAGTCCTAATCTGCTCGTTGATAAAGATATTCTGTTGGTACAAGATTCTTGGCTGGTGGAGAGCGGAAGATGTTTACAGACACTACCGCATGATCAGAGTTGCCAAAAGGGCAGAGCTGTGTAGTACGACTAGATTCAGGGATAGAGGAAAAGAAATCGCGAAGCGTGTCCGTCAGGGTTACTGCGGAATTGCGTGGGAAGTCAACCACTTGCGTGAGAGATTGAGTCATCGATAAAGATTTTTGGATACCAGCGAATCAGTGACAGACTGTATAAGCCACCTCGTTTGGTGGCATTAAATTCACCGAACACAAATATAATTGCAAGCAGGTGTAGGGATATGGCCTTATCTATATTATCCGAAATACTATCTCGCACGAGACAGTCTTGAGAGGAAGAAAAACGGTAGAGAAAGAAGAGATATCTGAGTTAAATAGAGAGCCACATGCACGAATGTTTTCAGAGACAGTTCCCTAACCAGCAGACTCCTAGGCCATGCATGTGGATATTAGAATCTTTTCTAAGGAGAGAAAGGTAGCCAGGAATCTAGAAATCAGAGGGGATTGAAGAGTTAAGATTAGTTTCACAGAGAGCTAGGATGTCCGGAGATTTTTCGAAGAGGAACGATTTCCACATTGCAGAAGTTGGTACGAATACCATAAATATTGAAGAAACAAAGGTTATGGGGTTTAGGTGTTTTTTTGTTGAGCTGGTTTAGGTTTAGATCTTTGATTGCGTTATATTGATAAGGAAAGACCTACGGTAGCAGTATCAGTCGCTCATCTCTTGCGTGCACAGGAAAGGAAATGGCTCAGCCTGCGACATAGTGTGGCCTCGGGATTGCGCACCAGGGGTGCTTGCATGGACACCCTTGCATGTAAAACATGGTACTGAAATAAAATAATGTAATAGTAATGGTAATATTAGCCGTTTCCCTATAAGGAAACAGCTGGCATTCAGTAACCGAGCAATTAGCATTAATTTCAGATAAAATCCTTATTTTGAAACACTTAGGAAAACAGGTTTCTGAAATCAAGTAGCTTTTATCACTCTTTCTAGTTGTGACGGTGGTTTCCTTTCGCACCTTTTATTTTAAGTGGTGTGAAGTGCTAACATCTTGGTTTTGTCATTATTTTCTTTTAAGGTTACATATGCTAAGCAACTTCTAACCGTTATGGGGCCTTACCCATAATAACATAATGGACTATTCCATACGTAATAAATACTGCGCCTCAAGAGGAAGCAGGGAGTTCAGTCCGAAGTCGGGTGAACGGCTGATCGGCTGATCGGTTGAACTCCCTGCTTTCGGGCAGGGAGGAACCCGAACCAGGCTACGCCGAAGGGCGAAGTCTCTTTCAGGGAGGTAAACCGACCCTGAGACCGTTTATTCGAGTTCAAAGGACATATTTTTGGCCGAGCTCACGGGCTCGGAGATCCCACGTTAAACCGGCCTTGTGCCACGTGATGCCCTCGTAGGTGAGGATGACTAAATACCGTTCAGTCTGAAGTCTGGAGTGAAGTCCGTCAGAAGTCTGTCAGACAGTCAGTCAGTCAGAGCGAGCGAGTCAGTCAGTCGAGTCAGAGGCAGTCCGAAACAGAGTACTAACACTTTCTACTTCTCTGTATATATTTCTGTTTGTAATATATCTGTGTTATTCCATATCCGTGTTCGAGTTCTTCTTTATTGGTTCTACCTTGGACTATCATCGTGGTACAAGGAACAGGACCATAACACTAATGAAATCTGCTTTAGAGGCATGCCAGAGAAATAGAGCTCAATCCTATTTTGAAAAGTGGGTATATGCCTCGAGATTTTCAGCACCCCCTACATTGTAAATTTGTAGCTACAAAGTAATCTAAAACTGTGTTTTTCATCAAAATCGAACGCGCTAATTTTTTTTTTTTTGCCGATATTTGGCAAATAAACGTCTGCATACAGTTATTTCGTGACTGTGTGGCGATGTAATTCTGTGATGTTATTCGCTCATAAATTTGCTATTCATGTCGACATCTTTAAACAGCATTGTTCACTTCATTCTCTCAACAATGCTCACGACGAGTACAGACATATTCAACTTAGATGAAAGCCGAAAGGGGAGACTGAGGGATCAAATAGGTATGTCAGACCACACAGACAGCATGCTATACAAGCTACATCAGCCCCGAGATCGAAATGTCACGTAACAGACCTCGATTCCATCAGCTGTCTCACATCGAGCGACGTTAAATGACTTTCTGTTATGATTAAAAGTTACGTAGCATAGATGTAGGCGATAGTTGATGTTCCTGGAGGTCAACTATGAATTTGACCAGCAGCCCTATAACCAGAATTGAATCAACCCACAATGGGAAAATGAACAAAAGGAGGATAGAAGGAAAGAGGAAGTTGCGAGGGAATGAAAGGGAGACTTCCGCTAAGTGACTCCAGGGCAGCGAAGAAAATGGCGAAATTGTTAAGCACCAATGAAATCGCGTGATTTCGTCAGTTACTGAACAAAGCATTTTGAGTTATAATCGGAGAGAATATTGTCAGTTAACATTAACGATAGGCCTACATATGAATAAATATACAAACTAAGTGATGTTATAGATATAGATATATAATCAATACTTCGAGAAAGTATATGCGTGTAGTAATAAATAATGGAAAACATTTTCAAAAAGTTTGTGCAAGGGTTGTTAAAATAATATATCGAATCCTTGCCGGAATTTGACTTTGATAATGGAGGAAAAAAGTAAGGTATAAATGAAGAAAGAAAAAACTATGGGAGAAAAAAAAAAGAAATATATAATGAAGATTTGAAACTGATATTGAGATGATGAAGAGAAAGCAAGTATATAACAACGAATTGAAATAAAGAGATCGGAATAAAAAGTAAAAAATGGATGACGAAAAATTAAAGAGTGAAAAATAAGGCAGCCACGTTGACCGGGAAGTCTTATCTAGATACTTGTGAACGGCTTGAATCGGGGAAATTTCTAACGGACTGTGTTGTCCAAATTGATGAGGCCCAGTTAGAAATACCTTCTTACTGGACCACATCTAAAGGGTTAAGCATTTCTTTTATCAATAACTGTCACCATATGGCATATATTTGAGAGTTGTATTCTTTTCAGATTGGGTGTCATGATGGGTACAATGAGTTTATTTTTAACCCAACGTAAATTTGTAGGCGTGCTGCACTTTCACTGAATAATAATAATAATAATAATAAAGTCAAGGGATTCCTGGAAGTCCATGCCTCAAGGAGATACAAAAAATTGTTCTGACAAGTACAGCCCATACTTTACGAAGGGCTTTATCTATGTAATTTTTTTTTTTTTTTTTTGTCAGTGGAAAGTGTCATGATGCCATTTCTAACCTTAGGTCCCTGGGCGGGACCCGGAAAGAAATGTGTAAACGCCAGAAAATAAAAATAATAATAATAATAAAGTCAAAATAAGCAAATATAAAACATTAAAAATATGAAATAGCGGTTATTATTAACTGTTTGCACATGTACCATAATATTCAGGCTTCCCTTCACCAAAAGAAATGAAGTGATTGTTATTGAATCTACGATGATGTGAAAATGGCGACGAATGAAGGCGAAACGAGTGAAGAAGATGAGTGGCAAGAAGAAAGAGCATATGAAGGAGAGAAAGAAAAAAACATGAAGATGTGGTGAAGAAATATTAAATAACAAAAGGAAAGATGGAAGAAAAAACAAAGAAGAAGCGCTGATAGATGATAATGAAGATAAACGAGGAAAAAAGCGATGAAAGAAGATAATGATCAAATAAAAGAAGAAAAAGACGAAGAAAGGAATTTAAAGATGATGAAGAAAAGAAAAACAAAAAAGCAAGAAAGAAAACGTTGGGGTTTTAACGATAGTAGATAATGAAGAAATACGAAGAACAAACCGATGAAGAAATGAAGAAGAAAGATAATATAAAAAAGAGAAAAATGATGATGAAAACGACGAAGATAATGAAAGAGGAAAACGATGATGAAAGGGAGAAAGAAGATAATGCAGAAAAATGCACGGGGAAGGAAAACAACAATGAACTGAAGAAGGAAGATGATGAAAAAAAAAGAAAAAGAAAATAAAGGAGGAATACAATGAAGAAATGAAGAAGGTAGATAATAATTAAAAGGAAAAAGATGATGAAAGAAAGAAAGAAGATAATGATAAAAGAAAACAGAAGAAAATGATGATGAAAAGAAGAAGGAAGATAAAGAAGAATAGAAAAAAGAGGAAGAAACAGATGAAGAAATGAAGAAAGAAGATAATGAAGAAAGAAAAAACGAGGAAAGAAGATAATGAAGAAAAGAAAACGTGGAAAGAAAACGATAGTGAAAGGAAGAAGGAAGATAATGAAGAAAAGGAAAACGATGAAAGAAACGATGAAGAAATGAAGATAATGAAGAAAAGGAAAAACGATGAAAGAAACGATGAAGAAATGATGATAATGAAGAAAAATAAAACGATGAAAGAAACGATGAAGAAATGATGATAATGAAGAAAAGGAAAACGATGAAAGAAACGATGAAGAAATGATGATAATGAAGAAAAAGAAAACGATGAAAGAAACGATGAAGAAATGATGATAATGAAGGAAAACGATGAAAGAAACGATGATGAAATGATGATAATGAAGAAAAGGAAAACGATGAAAGAAACGATGATGAAATGATGATAATGAAGAAAAGGAAAACGATGAAAGAAACGATGATGAAATGATGATAATGAAGAAAAGGATATATATGGACTTGAGGAATATATAGCAGACCACTCGTATTCGCGGCTACCCGTCTACTAGGACAACTAACCAATCCCTATTGCTAACTCTTGCTCAGGCGCATTTGTGTTTATATATATATATATATATATATATCAGGCTTTCCCTGACGATCCGCTTAGGTGAAACCTTGGTAGGTTGTCTGGCTCTTTAGGTTTAATTAGGTCTGCTCTACTTAACGTATTGAGCACTTTATTTATTTTGCTTACTCGTATCGTTTTTTATCTTTGGCCATTGGACTTGTATGCTAGACGATTATTTTCAGCTGACGTACATGTTCTTTGTCCTTTCTTTTTTATACTTTTTTTTCCCTTTGGTATTGGTTTGATTATTTGAAAATCAAGACACCGAAGGTTTTTCCGAACAGTATAAGTTCTTATACTTATAAGATTATTACTAGTATATATATATATATATATATATATATATATATATATATATATATATATATATATATATATATATATATATATGCGCGTGTGCGTGTCTGTGAGTGTTTGTGTATGTGTATGTGTGTAAAGATCCTTTTTTAATAATGTCTTCTGTGGCACTCAACCGTTGCCTTGTTGTGAGAAAATGACGGAGAACATCTTTGGAAGTCGATAGTTTTCCATCATTTCCAGCTGGTCTGCCCATCGCAGATGAGAATTTTGCCGCATTGTGAGCAATAGTGAAATGAGTATATTTTTATTGATTAGCTAATCTGCGTAAAATAATTTGTGTATGTCTACTTATGTCTTTGTCCGTGTGATTGACTCGCTTGCTCTGTAGCCAATAAAGTAATAACAAATAGATTTCTTTCAAGTGTGTTTCTCTTAGATTTTTTTTTTTTTTAGGCGGGGTGCTTTGATGACCACTCCGTCTTTTTTGGGCGTTACTTCAAACACTGTTTTAAATAGAGTGTTTATTTTGTTTGTTTTTTTTTTTTTTTTTCTCATGCGAAAATGTCTTTGCTAGTAGATGTTTACATAAACGTGCTTGATACTTTTCCAAAGACCGTCGGTGTTTGATTATAATAGACCTGAGGGTACATCAGTTTTATAATCTAGATGTTAATCTCTTAATAATCACTACACAAAATTGCCCGTGCTTTTTTTCACCATTTCTGGCAGAAATTATATTAACACAGAGTGATATATCTAAAACAAATATGATGGCAAAAAAAAAAAAGAAAGAAAAAGAATCTAAATGACGTCGGCTAGATTTAAAAAAAAAAATAAAAGTTAAAAATTCCCAGCATCCTTCGTTCGTGCACATGTGTAGTCGTACCAACGTAAACAAATTTCTTCCGATGACGTCCTAAAGAACGAAATGCATCATGCAAAATCATTTTCCACAATATATACCGTAATTCCCCATGTATAATACGCATTTTTTTCTAAAGAAAATAATAAGCAAAATTAGGGGTGGATATTATGCACAGCTAAGAAAATATCTAAAAAAATCCACTTCATATGTCGATTTCAGTTGCAAAATAACTACTCACATAGAACATACAATTTGCCACTAACATTCGGCATTTGCAACCCCATAAGGATTTGAAATACAATCATATATACCTAACAATACTTACAAATGTAAGATAAAATAAGAATTATCATAAAACTAAATTAGAATAATATTATTCTATGTTTAAAACCATTTTTTAATAACAGAAGGAAAGGCTGGCCGTAATGAAATTGTAGTTTATAGAGTTTGACTATCAAACTAGGTGTGCGTGTTATATGTTAGTAGAAGCATTTTCCCACACATTCAGCACAATTTTAGGGGTGCCTATTATGGATGAAAGCGTATTATAGATGGGGAATTACGGTATATACATATATATATATATATATATATATATACATATATAAGAGGAAAGAACAGTCAGATTTATAATCATAGTTCTTTAGTATTTATTTTTATTAAAAAAAAAAGGTGCTCGATACAAAGTAGAACATAATTCCAATTATTTTTTTAAAAGCATGTTTCCTCCTCGACACAGAAATTACTATGTTTCGAAATCGAAAATTAAATCTTAAAATTTCAACTTAAAATTCGGAGCTCGGTTCCATTCTCAAGCGATGCTAAGAATAAATTTTAAAATTAAGATGTATTTCTCCTGCAATAATTCCTTCAGATATGGTGGGTTATATAATATCGAGAATGTGAATAATCTTGAGCGACTTAAATTTGATTCCTTCAAACCTGAGAAGGCCGGATTTAAACAAAAACAGTTGAGTAAATTTATACAAATCAGTCTTTGCAAAAGAATGTACAACATTCTAACGTTCTCGAAAAAAAAAACTAATATAAATTAAAAATAAATATGAACCTTGGCAAAATTGCAGATAACATAAAACGACTATTTCGGAAATCTGATAAATTTAATAAAAAAAATTGATAAACAAAACTTGTCAAAATTATTTAACTCTCTATATATTAAGTTCTTGAAAATACATTTCAATTGAGAACTGTTGATTCTATAAACAACAACAACAACAACAGTCCCCTACGCTAATTCAAAGCTCTTCAGTAAAACGAAGTTAAGCACTCTGACTGATTGGCGCTTGTTTTCATGTGTAAAAACAATACGCTAGAATTAGCTGTTTTTCTCTGCTGAGTGATGATCCTGTCTTGAGACATTCAGATGTCTAGTCACACTGAGGAGCTGTGATACAGCGAAACAGTACTGTCTGCGAACACACACACACACACACATATATATATATATATATATATATATATATATATATATATATATATATATATATATATATATATATATATATTCCAAAGTTTAAATAAACAGCTATAAATAGAGTTTTTCCCCAAATAAGCCTTCTGGCATGAAAGTGCTCTATGCCATAAAATGATAGAGCATTTGAATATTATTTCAATAAAAAGGTAGGCAATGACTGACCACTACTTTAAGTGTCATGTGTTTGCACACAATCTTCAGGTAGCCAGTAACTTGCTCTGTCATTTTTAGGCTACAAAATTAAATCTTTAGAAAATCAATGTCCTTCGTTAGATTTTTCCAGCATTTCTTTAATTCACGAAAAAGCTCATCTTCTGCGTTAACTTTCCTATTACGGGTACGCTTGTCCATTATCGGTGTTCAATTGGGTTACGGTCAAGACTATTATTAAATAATTTAGTCTATAGCATACCTCGAAGAATTAAGGCCGTTATTAAAGCAAAAGGTTACCCAACAAAATGCTAAATAATTTTTTGACTAGTATAATGTACATATGTACACCTGTATTAATACCCTGTATTAATAAACGAATTCTATCACTCACTTGTTTTGGTAAAAATACAAAAATCGTCTTTCTGTGGGTGCGTTCATTTTTTGCCTCGTACTATATATATATATATATATATATATATATATATATATAGTCTCCGACTGATGTAAAACGGGCCGAGTTACGATGCCGCCTCGAAGCAACCGCGTGTTTAGACGTTGGGAGGTGCCGGATGGGAAGAAGGAAGGAGAAGAAGAATAAGAAGAGGAAGAGAAGAAAAGCAAAGGTATTATAAATATATGGGTGAGGAGGTAATATAAATGTACATTTTTTTTTATCCAGCCTCATATGCGCTTAAAAGGAATTTCCAAGACTTTGGGTTTCTGGTTCAAAAGATTCTTTGGATCCAGAAATGTCTTAGTTGCTAATTTTTCCTGTTGGCAGAGGTTGCGAATATTGTTGTCGTTGTTATAAGGCTTCGCTTTTAAAAAAGATTTTTCAGCTTACGATCGGATCCCTGTTGTTTTTTGTCTTTTAAAGTCCACACATGATTAGCTAGTTTGGTAGAGTACCTTAGAATTACTAGCTTGAATGAGGACTTTTGATTGTGTCATCCACCTTTGAAAGTACCTTCAGTACATCCTATGTACGTTTATTTTGACCAGTAATATCTGTTACTTCTGCTTTATAGATGATTGCTTCTGTTTTACAAGTACCATCTAATGGGCATCTATTTTTATTTCTACAGTTGCATAAATTACTATTGTTGACTAGATTTTGCTGTGCGTTAGGTAGTTTTGTCTACTATTGTTTGTAAATTACTAGTTCAGCCGTTGCTTAATTTAACTTTGTTTTTATTGAATATCTTATGTAATTCTGAATTTTTTGAGGAGTGTTTAGTACGTAACTTGAAAAATAATGTCCCTATTTTACATTTTACAGCTAAGTTAAAAGGGGAGTTAAGCTAAATGTTATCTTTTTTCTTTTCCTCAAATTGTTCTTCATATGTTGTTAAATTTGAGGTTTAAATTCTTGTTAAGTTTTTCTCATATTCTTTCTTTTTATCCTTAAAAATGATTTTACTAAAAGAGATTCTGAATAATCTATACTATTCCTTTAGGGGTGTGCTTTATTATATTCGCAGGGTGGATAGATCTAATATTCACGTATAGTTTTGCTTTGGGTTTCATGTATGGGGTGATACTGCCAGCTTGATGATTTAATTCTATGTCCAGATAGTTGACAAATTTTTCATTCATTTCGACTTCTATTTCAAAGCCGAGGTTTTTGAAGAGTTTGAAAACTACTTGACTTATAGTGTCATCGTTCTTCTGTTGTTCGACGCTATCATCAGACCGTCATCCCTATATAGACCATGGTTGTTTATATATATCCCAGGATAGGATTGGGATTGGTGTTTACGAAATAAATTCCAATAACCAATAAATATAATTCTTAAAAGAGTGCTCAATACAGAGTAGAGCCAGTATAATTATTTATTCGAAAATTATAACATGTTATAAAATATAATCATGTTATAAAATCACTACAAAAATAGCCATTTTGTTTCAACACTTCTGGTGTCTTATCAAGTGATGGTGTTGAATGTAGAATAAAGGGTTTTAAAAGGTTCAAATCAATCAATTAGGTGTTCGATTGATTTGAAACTTTTAAACTATCACTTGATAAGACACCAGAAGCGTTGAAGCAAAATGGCTATTTTTGTAGTGATTTTATAATATATTTATAATATATAAATATTTTTATAATATAACGTTATAATTTTCGAATAAATAATTATCTATCTATCTATCTATTAACAATTATGACAAAAACATGTTATAAACCTATCGCATTTATGTAGCGGTTTCTAACAAGTTTTGGGTATAATTCTTAATATTATTATTATAAATCTCTACTCTTTATTGGTGCATTTTAAAAAATACAATGTCTGGAGACTGGTATTAACGTACCTTACACATCTATCTATCTATTTATTTATCTATCTATCTATCTATCGATATATATATATATATATATATATATATATATATATATATATATATATATATATATATATAACTAGACTCGTTTCGAAAAACCCTCGAATTTTTGATTTGATAATCAAATCAATCTCGAGGGAAAAAAAAGGTTTTAAAAAAAGAAAGAGCTACAAACATGAACTTATTCCGACAAAAAAATCGCACAGATGCAGGTCTGAAGCCCAAAGAAAAAACCCCGATACGAGTAAACAACTAACTAACAAAAGAACTCAATACAACCGTAGAGCAGACCTAGATACACCTAGTGAGCCAGACAAACCTACCTAGGTTTCACCTAAACGGATCGTCAGGGAAAGTTTGGCTTTTATATATATATATATAGTTTAATTAATTTAAATAT